ACAGAAATGCGACTTCTCTGGTTTCATTCGTTAAAGACGGATCGAATGTGATACACTTCTTCTGCAGTGTCATCATTCAAAAGACTATTTCTGCCATCATGAATTATATTCTAGCATAAAGTATTCAACGTTCATTTTGTAAGCCGTTTTAGAATATATTAATCTGTGCAAATAATGGAAAAATCTGTTTTTTATAAAGGAAAAATCGTGACAAAAAACAAAATACGGACACGAAATCATCCCCGAAAAAAAGAAAGAGCGTTAAAGGAAAGAAATCGTCCAAGGCTGGAAAACGAAAGACTGTGAAAGGAAAGCAAAGGTTGGCCAAAGGCAAACGCAAAAAGTGAAGATTTTTTGTCAGGACTTTGTCGAAGTTTCCGTCATGTTTGAATCGTCCAATTCGTTGTACTTATCGAAGAGGCTTGTTGCAGTAAATTCTGAAGAGTTAACGTCTGACTTAGTCTCTGATTCTGACTAGTGGTCATTTGTCTTACGATTTGCTGCTGATAAATCAGTTTTTATATTGGCACGTAGAGAATAGCTCTTAGCACACATTTCTAATCCAAGAGTTCATACATCTCACAGTTCACAGTTATTTCTAATTCTGTTAAAAGCATATGCTGGATACAGTGCTAGTGATGTCTTTTACGCTAATGCATGGTTGAAACAGAATGACAGGAATCTGTTGGTATGCGTCAGCTTGTGAAACAAAGCTCAACGCTACTGGTATCCAAAAAGAACTGACTTGCGTCAGGAGATCTATCAGAAACAGTGGCTACTACTGATAGTTAATAAAAAGGCAAAGAGCAAAAATGAGCAACAAAGAACGAACTAGAAGTGAACAACAGAAATTCAACACTAGTATTATTGTTCCACAGGTGCAACATCTGTAAGAAACCGTAGAGGATCGTTCGACAGTGTAAAATACGACTGATATCCCACAAAGTTGCGGAGCCAATTAGATCTGTACCATACCTTGTCAGTGTGGTCTCAATTACATTGAGGAAACCCACAACACTACACAGAAGTTTAAACATTAACGTCTCTGGAATCTAGAATATGATCAGTTGTTATCTAAATCACAATCGACACGTATACAAAGGATAATGTCAAATACGAAGTCTGAAGAATGAAAGAAAATACGAATTATGGGCTCAAAGGAAAAAACATCGAGAGAAATTATTTAGGCCAAAAGAAAAATAAAGCCTCGGTAATTCAATTGAATCTATGCATAAATATAAACGGTGATACAGAACCAGGTTCGCAATGGAACGAAATCCAAGCAGCCATTACAATCTAGGCTGAAAATCCCATTATGAAGTTTGCACTCGACCGTAACTATTAATACTATAATGTTGTTTTCGATTATATCTCTCCCTGAAGGCAGATCGAATTTGATTCAGAACATCGGAGAATATGTACATAGTAAATTTAATGTGCCCGTCATGTCATCAAAGGTTTTTTCAACTTTGAACTGAATTCACCTATAAAATACATCTTTCGTTTTAAATTATAGCGACTATCTCATTTTAGACCATTGCTTCCAGCCATTTCTGTTGTCAAATCAATCTGCAGGTGGCTTAACACCAAGACAGAAAATTGTTGGGGCTCTTGGTCCAGATTTGACAATGGTCACTCACTTGTCAAATATAACGAATAACACGTGGACTGTACGCCTCTACGCTATCTATAAAATGCAGCCTACGTAACGCAGCATGGAAAGATGTATTTAGGAGTGACAAGAAAATACAGGAAGATGGATGAATGGATAAGAGTACAAACAAGAGTCTACGATGTAATTGCCTGAGTGAACAAGTTAAAGTGGCAATGGGCAGGGTACGTTGCAAGAATGACCGACCATCGCTGAACCAGAAAGAGTTAACAGTCCATCAGAAGACATCCAGATCGATGCAAGATGAGCTGAACAATTTTGTTGGATCAAAACTTAATAAAAATGACAGAAAGCAATAGTCAATGGCAAAATCTTGGAGGCACTCATCCCGCAGTGGATCATAAAATGCAGATGACGATGTATGCATATGATGAGATGGCATATTAGTTATTGTTAAAGACAATGGGTTCTAAGATTGAGAGCAAACAGCG